AGTCCATGTCTCCTCTGTGATGTGGCTAACGTGTGTTCATTTCTAGGTGCATCCCCACAAATCATCAGAAGAAAAGTCAAATGTATCAGAGTGGAGAATCCTGACTTTGCTACTGTTATAACAAACTGTGAAGATGGCACCTGTTGTACTATCTTTGGAGATGGGACATCTGTTATAGCAAAGCCACAAGGAACATATCAGGTGAGTTTTAGACTAGTGTAATATGTGGGTTTTTAAGTGTACTGAATACCTCATCTCTGCTTTTGTCTCCTCTTACCCTTGCTATCATTCCCATTTGCTTCAGAAGCCAATTCAAAATTCCTCTCCTATTAAAAATATTAATGTTTAAAATATTGCACAGACTATCATCAGCCTGCATCCTAAGCTTTGTCTTTCCTTGTTTCCCTCTCCACTCCCTCCAAACAGGATCATTCTATATTAAAGCTGTGTATTGGATTTTTCTTCCTGAATTCAATCAATCATTGTTCAATTTTATACTGCTTCTAAACTCAGGAGTCAACCATTGCCAACTGAGCCTCTTCTTCTCATGTTATGGCAGGTATTACCCTCCAGTACTGGCTGCCTTTTCATTGATGATGATTGTTCAGCAGTTTATTCCCAGGCGATTTTCAATAAAACTCAGTTTCTCTGCAACCAGGAGGAGAAACAATCAGGGAGATATGTTATGAAACACACCTCCAATGTCATCTGTGAGGTGCTGGATCCTGAGGGAAACCTTTTCAAGGTAAAACACCAAGTAGGAAGTGGAAGCTTGTGTTTTGTGTTGAGTAGTTTTACCCACTTAGGCTGTGTCCAGACTCAGGGGGTTTTTCGAAAAAAGTAGCCTTTTTTCGAAAAAACTTCACCTGCGTCTAGACTGCAGCCGCGTTCTTTCGAAATTAAATCGAAAGAATGTGGCTTTTCTTTCGACGGTGGTAAACCTAATTCCACGAGGAAGAACGCCTTCTTTCGAAAGTGCTCTTTCAAAAGAAGGCGTTCTTGAAAGCAAACAGGCTTTTTAGAAAGAGAGTATCCAGACTCACTGGGTGCTTTCTTTCGAAAAAGCGGCTTGCTTTTTCGAAATTCCGTGTGCAGTCTTGACGCTCTCTTTCGAAAGAGGCTTGCAGTCTAGACATAGCCTTAGAAAATGGAGCCTTGTAGAATTTTAAAATTAATAATATGGGCAGCTTAGTCAACCAAATGTCATAGCAGCAATGGACTTCAGTATGGAAGTGACTTTGGTTGCTCCCTCACCTTTAGAGGTAAGCAACAAGTGTCATCCAAAATGAGACCCTTGGACTGCAGCTATATCACAACCGTAAAGCCACATTGATTAATGTGACTTGTTGCACTATTCTAGGCAAAGAAAGTAGCTACAAGCATTGGGAATGGAAGAGGGAAAAGGATACTGAGCATTTTCTTACAAAACCCCACCAAAATATTTAAACCTAAACTATTTAGTAAAGCAAAACTAGATGTAAAAGGCATGATTCAGTCTTTAGAGTCCTACTGCTTTGTGTCCTTTTTGATCTTGAAAGCTAGATTGGGGAGCTAGGTTAGCGCTTAGATGTGAGTCAGTGAAGCAGCATCTAGTGGGTAGGAAGTCACATTCCTTACTAAGCAGGAGTTAATATTTTCTGGCTCAGTATTGTGCTCCCAGAGTGGTGGTGTTAACACATGTGACTTCTTTCTTGCAATACCTTCCCTGTAGTTTGCAATTCACTTCCATTTCTCTGAGTTCCTGTGCTAGCTTAACTCAGAATTGTGAAGGGGAACACTCCCTGCCAGTGATGCCTAGCACTCAGGCAGGGATGTGGTACCTTGTCATCCTCCCTGGTGATCCACTTCCTGACTACAGTTCTGGAAAGCCGCGGAGGGGCTCGCGCAGCAGGCGCGCCTGGGCTGCCCCCCCTGCCGGCTTCCCCCGTGGCTTTGGAAAGCTGCGGGGGGTTTAAGTCTCGGCTTGACAAAACCCTGGACGGGTTGATTTAGTTAGGACTGCTCCTGCCTTGGGCAGGGGGCTGGACTTGATGCCCTCTTGAGGTCTCTTCCAGCTCTATGATTTCCCTCGGGGGAAGCCGGCAGGGGGGGCAGCCCAGGCGCGCCTGCTGCGCGAGCCCCTCCGCGGCTTTCCAAAGCCGCGGGGGAAGCCGGCAGGGGGGCAGCCCAGGCGCGCCCCTTTGCTCCGCGTCTTCCTGGTCTGCAGACCAGGGAGACGCGGAGCAGCTTTTCTTGCCGGGGAGTACACGGGCGGCGGGACCACGTGGTCCCGCAGTCCGTGTTCGTAACTGCGGATCCGACGTAAGTCGGATTCGCGTAAGTCGGGGGCTGCCTGTACATATAAAGAGTCTGGTAATGGGGAAAGTCTTCAGAATACAGCAAGGCTTTCACTTGGGTCAGGATCCTGTTGTGATCCAGACTCTGATACTTTCGAGGTCTCCCTACAACTAGGTTCTCCACCTTGGGATAGACTTCCATCATTGTCCCTCTGAGGGTTGGTAGGGGAGCTTGGGCCCACCCTCTCCACTGGGCTGTGACCCAAAGTCCAGTGGTAGGCTAAATCCTGCACTTCGGGAGATTATATGGCTTCCTCCCTCAATCACTTCCTGCCAGTCCCCTTTTTTCCCCCAGAATAAAGTAAAGAACTAAACCACAAAGATCCAGTCTTGATCTTCATAGACTCACTGATCCCTTCTTTGTAGGCTTGGCCAGGTGTCCATAGTCAACCTCAAGCAGCAAGAAGTTCTGTGATGCTTCTTCTCATGAGTCCAATTTGCAGATCAACTCACCCCCACTATCTGCTTCCAACTAAGCTACTCTGCTCCCCTTCTGAAGCTCCTTCTCCAGCCTGTTCAAGCTTTGCAGGTGTTGTGGGGTGGGTTGCCTGGCCCAGGAGTAGTGCTTTAACCTCTCCCTTTCCAGTGTAAGGTTTGTACACTCCATCACAAACACCTGTGAGTGTATGCATTATGATACAGTCTTTCATGAACAGGGCGGATGGACAGTGCTCACTAAGGATGTCTACACAGCAGATTTATTTCAAAATAACTAGCGTTATTCCGAAATAACTTAGTTCTCATCTACACCGCCAGCAGTTATTTCGAAATAGTGTTGAAATACTGTCAAGTTGGAGGTATTCTTACTCCAACTCCTGTAACCCTCATTGTACAAGGAGTAAGGGAAGTCAGAGGAAAAGTGCTCTGTTTTGAAGTAAGTGCTATGAAGGCTTTCCCAATTTCAATTTCAAAATGAACTATGCAATTGACATAGTTCAGTTTGCATAGCTTATTTTGAGTTAAACCCAGCTGTATAGATGCACCCTAAATGAGCAGCTATGCAGTAATTTGTTTTATTCTCATAGTTCAATGTGTGGCCCAACCTTTATTTACTGCATGCTATTCAAACCTTGCTCTGAAGACAGATTTTTTAATTTCCTCTTAGGTTTTCCTGTGGCACTCATAACAGTAGTAGCAAATTCTTCCCAAACATTCTTTTCAACATCCCTGTGAGATGAGGGGGAGTTAGCCCTATTTTAAAGATAATAAACTGAGGTACAAAGAGATCAAGGTAAACATTTTTCCACTAATTTTATGCATCCAATATAGGATCTCTTGGTTTGTTTAGCACTAGCTAGCATTTTATGTGTTCAAAACACAGCTTCAGTTGGCTTTTCTTGCAGCCATGAATGTTTCAGAACAGACCCCAAGGATTTGAGTTAGGCACCCAGAAAATGAGGAACTCACAATTACAAGATCACCTGTGAAAAGCTTGTTTTAAGTGTCTCCAGCATCACACAGGCAGAGGCAGGTACAGAATCCAGTTCTCAGGCATCATTAACTGCCTTACCTATGTGAACTTCTCTCTTATTGCAATCTCTTGCTTCATTCATAACATATCTTCACATTTCTACAACAGATAATGTAGAATTTCTACAGAGAACAACCTACTTTATTTTGCACAGTCCTGCTTCATCTCAGAGTAGGTTCATCTTGTGAATGACAAGCATGAATGAGAGATAAGGACCTAACCAAGTGAGTTATAAGATCAAGAACACATATTCCTGCTCATCCAGAAATATAATTTATGCTATAATGTGCCGAAAGTGTCTGTCTGCTATGTACATTGGACAAACGTCTCAGACACTTTGCCAAAGAATCAAAGCCCACAAACAGATATTAGACAGGATCACAAAGAAAAAACAGTTTCTTGCCATTTCAACCAGAAAGGACATTGTCTCAACGACTCGATTACCTGCATCCTGCTTCAAAGACCTTTTCAGACCATACTTGAAAGAGAATCCTCTGAACTGTCATTCATGCTTAAATTTGACACTTTACACCTAAGTTTAAACAAAGACATCAATTATCTTACCCATTACAAAGATAGCTTCCCCAATTATCACCTTTAATACCATTAGCTCTCAGACATTTACCTTCCCCCCCCACCCACCCCCCTTCTGTTCTGAAATTTGATTTGTCCTTTTCATATGTGTTCATTTTTTTTAATTGTATCATTTGGTATATATGGTTGATTGTATCCTTTGGTATATATGGTTGTGACTATTTTCTTCCACTATTTGATCTGAGGAAGTGGGTCTGGCCCACGAAAGCTCATCACCTAATAAACCATCTTGTTAGTCTTTAAAGTGCTACATAGTCCTGTATTTTGTTTCAGCTACACCAGTCTAACACGGCTACATTTCTGTCACTCTTTTATATTGTAATTCTGGCCACACCTAGCACCTTGTGCATATTCATGAAGGTGTCATTCAGCTTTCTTTCCTTTATCTATATTTTCACATCTCAGGAATATTGGTGTGCCCTGTTTTCATAGGTTGTTTGACCTCTTACTTTCATGTATGCATGATAAATATCCTGCAGTCTAAAAGGCTGACCTGGCTTAAGTCACCTCTAGGAGAGAGTTCATGGCTGAGAATCCTTAGGCACCAGAGTACCTCTGTAGAACTGAACACAAAAGAACAAACCACAGGAAGCCATTTCCTTGTTCACAATTGTTCCAAGTCTACCTTTCCAGTCTGTCCAAAAAAATGACTTTCTCTCAGAGCCATGGTAGTAGTGAGTTTCTTTCTGTGTCTTTTTAGGACTGCTTGCTCTTGGCTTTCTTGGTGTTCTCTCTCTTCTCTATTTTTTTGCCCGCTTATAGACAGCTGCAACCAGGGATGAAAGGAACTTAAATTTCTTGCAAGTAATGTCCTATTGCAACCCGGATTCCTGCCAGCTCTTCAACTAGCTCCCTGCTGGCTTTTGCCAAAACTCAGCCAGTGCTTGCTAAGGCTGCACATTGGGGCATGCCCCCCCCCCCTTACTTTCACCTGTGGCTGCAACCAAATGAATGCCCAGCCCCTGATTTGCATTCAGTCTAGTCTTCAAGAAGTGATTTTTCTTTTTTTGAGCTGTCACTAAACAAAGGGCCATTTAATTGGTGTCTCAGCCTGAATGGAGAGTGGCTAGTACTCCCATCAGCTTCACCAAGTCTGAGGCTGCAGTTTGCTAGTAGATTAAAGACCCACCTAACAGGGAATTAGACAATCTTAGGGTATGTCTACACTACCACCCTAGTTCGAACTAGGGTGGTAATGTAGGCAACCGGAGTTGCAAATGAAGCCCGGGATTTGAATTTCCCAGGCTTCATTTGCATCTTGCCGGGTGCCGCCATTTTTAAATGTCTGCTAGAACGGACTCCGTGCCGTGCGGCTACACGCGGCACGGACTAGGTAGTTCAGACTAGGTATTCTGAACTACTGTTACGTGAAACGAGGAGTAAGCCTAGGAAGCCTAGTCCGAACTACCTAGTCCGTGCTGCGTGTAGCTGCGTGGCACGGAGTCCACACTAGCGGACATTTAAAAATGGCGGCGCCCAGCATGATGCAAATGAAGCCCAGGAAATTCAAATCCAGGGCTTCATTTGCAACTCCGGTTGCCTACATTACCACCCTAGTTCAAACTAGGGTGGTAGTGTAGACATACCCTCACTTATTTAAAATCTAAATAGAAGTGACTATTTTCAGCTGAGCACCCTATAGCTGCCGTTTCCTTTAGTGCCTCAAAACCTCTGAATATCAAATTATTTAATTTTTGATACCTAAATATAGATACAGAAGCTTAACTTTACATAACCAGTTTTGAAAAAGCTGAACAGTATTTCTTACTTAACTATCTCATTCACATGTATGTTTTAATTATTTAATAATATAATTAAAATCCTAATTATTATTATCATGGGGCATCAAGAACTACATTTAAGAGGTTGCCTACAATATGCTCACTATCTATTTCCATGAAAGTGCAAATAAATAATTGCATGAGTGAACAGTACTTGTGTATGCTGTTAGCTGAGTTGACCTGCAAATGTATGATTTATATGCAGGTACCCATTTGTATTACCCCATTACCCATTACAATAAATATTTAGCTGCCTAGCACAAAACAATGACTTGGCTGTAACTGTAACTGTGCTTGCTCACATCTGGACTTAGTAGCAAATTTATTTTTTTAAAAGAGTTCTAACTCGAATGATTTTGTATGCTCCCATCATAGGTCATGGCTGATGGCAGCACATCTGTGTTCATTCCCAGCATTGATTCTGATGGTGAGGAAGATGGATACTTATCACCAATACCAAAAGAAGTTAGTACTCCTGTCACATATGGTGAACATGCCCCCAGGTAAACTGAACATACCACACAGGGATTTGTTCTTGGCTCTCTGCTATTTAATGTCTTTATTTGTGACCTGGAAGAAAATGTACAATCATCACTGATAACATTTGCAAATGACACAAAAATTGGGGGTGTGGTAAATATTGAAGAGGACAGGTCACTTATTCAGATCATTTGGTGAACTTGGCACAAGCAAACAATATAGGTTTTAATACTGCTACATGTAAATGAATAAAAAATAAAGTAGGTCATATTTACAGGAAGAGGGACTTTATCCTGGGAAGCAGTGGCTCTAAAAAATATTTGGTAATCATGAAGATGGGATCTCAGTGTGATGTTGGGGCCAAAAGAGCTAATGCAAATCTGGGATGCTTAAATAGGGGAATTTTGAGTAGCAGTAGATTATTTTACATCTGTATTTGACATTGATGTGACTTCCTATTAGAATATTGTGTCCCAGTTTAGTGTCCTCAATAAAAGAAGGATGTTGATAAATTGGAGAGGGTTCGAAGAACTATGAGAATCAGGGAAGATGTTACTAAAGTCTAGGTATATGACATCCACCGCTTCTCCCTTATCCACAAGGCTCGTTATCCTATCAAAGAAAGCTATCAGATTAGTTTGGCATGACTTGTTCTTCACAAACCCATGCTGGCTATTCCCTATCACTTTATTACCTTCCAAGAGTTTGCATATGATTTCCTTAATTACCCTGCTCCATTATCTTCCCTGGGACAGACGTTAAACTAACAGGAAGAGGAACGGGCTGGTGGGAAGCAGAGCTGGGAGGGTGCAGGGGGGCTAGCCGGGGAAGATCAGGAGGGAAAGTGGGGGAGAACCATCATCCTGAACTTCCACTCTTTCATTATGCCATCATAGTGTTCTTTCCTATGGAAAAGTGTGTGATTCGAATATAGCTTGGAACTAATCAGATTTGTGGGGATGATTATTTAGGTTCTTCATTGTCTATGCTGATGGTTCAGGGACTGAACTCCTACGGAACAGTGATATAGAAGAATACCTTGCTGTGGCATATGGCGATCCAGCTACTGCAGTCTTGCAGGAGCCAGTACAAGAATGTCCAGGTAGGAATATTTCATTTTATTTTTGCCAACCCTGTTTAGAAATAATTAAAATAGTTGGAGCAAAACACTCAAAACTCTTAGGTCAGAAAACTGAAAGTGCTGTTCTCCATTGTGCTCATCCTCCAAATTTGCTCCCCCACTGGTCCCATAGGGAAGACTACATCCTATTTCTGCCCAGAGGTAGCAGTGTACATGGGTTTCTACTCCACGGGACCTGAAAGTAGCAAGGAGTATGGAAGAATAAACGTATAGAAAGACTGTGGGATATAGTCAGTCAGCTGAATGACTGTTTGATGAAGGGGGATGTTAACACATATTTGGTACGCTTTTATATATATGAAAATGGAAACTACCACTACATACATCTATACTATGAATTCATTTTGTGGAGGGAAGTCACCAAATGTCTTTTGTTAGTTTAACCAGCCACCTTTACCTATGTGTGCAGTAAAATTATCATTGTGAATGGTGGCTCTTTTCTATTTGGGAAGCTCCCTCTATACATCTGGTGATAAGGACACTGAAAGATATAAATGGGAGGAGGGTTATTGATGTCGTATGGGACCTTCTACCTGTAGGCCCATGGTACTACATGAGAATGGCTGTACTGGGTCAGACCAAAGGTCCATCTAGCCCAGTAGCCTGTCTGCCTATGCCAGGTGCCCCAGACGGGGTGGACCGAAGACAATGATCAAGCAATTTGTCTCGTGCCATCCATCTCCAGCCTCTGACAAACAGAGGCCAGGGATACCATTTCTATCCCCTGACTAATAGCCTTTTATGGAGCCAACCTCCATGAAATTATCTAGCTTCTCTTTAAACTCTGTTATAGTCCTAGCCTTCACAGCCTCCTCTGGCAAGGAGTTCCACAGGTTAACTATGTTGCTGTGTGAAGAAGAACTTTCTTTTATTAGTTTTAAACCTGCTACCCATTTAATTTCATTTGGTATGCTCTAGTTCTTCTATTATGGGAACTAATAAATAACTTTTCTTTATTCACCCTCTCCACACCACTCATGATTTTATATACCTCTATCATATCCCCCCTCGGTCTCCTCTTTTCTAAACTGAAAAGTCCCAGTTGCTTTAGCCTCTCTTCATATAGGACCTGAAGGCTTGGCGTGGTGTATGTGAATGAATTGCCAGAACATAAGAATAGCCATAATGGGTCAAATCAAAGGTCCATCTAGTACAGTATCCTGTCTCTCTACAGTGGCCAATGCCAGGTGCCCCAGAGGGATTGAACAGAACAGATAATCATCAAGTGATCTATCCCTTGTCACCCATTCTGAGACTCTGACAAACAGAGATTAGAGACATCATTCCTGCCCATCTTGACTAATATGAATTTATCTAGCTCTTTTTCCTGTTAAAGCTCTTGCCTTCACAACATCCTCTGGCAAGGAGTTCCACAGGTTGACTGTGCTTTGTCATTTACTGCCAGTCCTCATGAACAAGCTATGGGAAAAGTCTGAAGAAGGCAGACATGTGCTAAAAAAAATGACAAACAAGCCATAAAGAGAAACTTATATAGTACTGTTGATGTGGAGAATAGGATGACAAAATGGCACTTTAAACAGTACAATAATGGCACAGTTCTCCCAACAGCTAATTTAGGGAGGAACTGAGAACAGCCATCCTATTACTTACCCTATCAGGTTTTACTTAATTGGAAGTGTTGATTCCACCAAAAATAAATGGCTCCCCAGCAGCAGATGAATTGAATAACACCGATAAAACTGCCACTAACATTAAAAAGAGGAAGCGAGAAAGAGGAAGGGAAACTCATTTAAAAAACCAGGAGAGTAGAAGTGGGCAGTTCAGAAGGGAAGACAAGATATGTTCCATGAGAATGCCAGATGAGGAAGCTTGTCTGTTAATCACCCTGAGCACTCTGAAGATAGCAAACTACTTGGCTTCCCCTAAAAAGATTACTACAGTTAGATATGTGGAGTCTGGTGGTGGCGTCTATAGATTCAGATAAGAATACAAATTTTAGGATGCTTCTTCAGACTTCAGAAGAAGTCTTTTAGGGCCTTCCTACCTTACTAGCTTTGGCATTTTTGCTATACTAAAAGTGGGGCTTTTCTCCTCTTGTAGGCTTATGGGACATTGTATCATAGTGATTAAACATCTCACAGTGATGTACATTTCTAATGTAGTATATGGGTCAGAATATAGGGCTAAGTGGATTGTTGGTCTGATAGGAGAGGAAAACTTAAAGATCTGAAAACTGCATCACTCTTCAACATTTGATAATTAAGACACCTGTAGGTTTTTTTTTAAATAAGCTAGAGTTGAACAGAGAGTAACAATTATAAGTAATTAGTTATCTGTGGTCTGAAGGTGTAAAATATGATACAATGCAGCTCACAACAATGCTTATGTTGAATATGGAAGTGTAGATTAAATAAAAGTTCCATATGCAGCTCAAGCTGGTGTAATGCTGGCACTATAGTTTTTTCATGGTTTGCACCTCCTTACTCAAAAGAAGGTCATTTATACTGCACTCCATAATATACAAATTAGTTGTATCCCTGACACTCCTAGCAAGTTGCAAATGCAATCTCTGGTTTGCCAAAGTTTAGGTGACCTTAATCCAAAATTGTCTGCTTAGTATGCAGTCACATTGTGATCCGGTATTTTCTCAAACCATCAAAATCAAATTTTGGTCTTCATTTTCACATTCCAGTAATTATAAGCTTTCCATTTATACAAGTGTTTTGTTTGAAAATTTCAAACTCTTCATCAAATTTTCCATCCATTTTGGATGGATGGATGCAAGATTATTTTTCTTGAAATGTTTTTAACTCAGGTGTTCTAAGTATTATTGTTCTTCGTCCACTGACTGAAACATCTCCTTGGATAATGAAGAAAGAATCATCTAATATTATTCCTCCTAGCCTCCAGTCCAGGAACTGGGATACATTTCCTCCACTTGAGGTACAAATCTTTCAAAACTCTTTATCCCTGCTTTGCTATTAGGCATTGATGTTACTCTGTTACTTATGATTTTATTTATTATTTGCACATAGCCCTCGTAGATTGGACTTGTAGATTATAAAACCATAAGAGACAATTATAATCATGTTGTCTAACCTCTTGCATGACACAGGACTTCCCTTAATCAATTTCTATTTGAGAATTTCCAACCACTTATGTATTTGAATTAATTAAACCTCACAACATCTGTGTGAAATAGGTGAATATTATTAGCCCCAATTTATAGATGGAAATTTGAAGCACAAAGATGTTAGTGAGTTGATTTAGGTCACGCATTGAATCTAGCCCAGAGCCAGAAACAGAACTCTGATCTCATCAGTCCCATGTATTAGCCACAAAACCATGCTGACAAGCCAGAGAGCATCCTCTTCAGATAATATCGATGAGCTTAAATTAGACCAAGTTCAATTAGATTACAATAGGTTAATGTAATAAGCATGTGACATAGGAATTCACTGTCCACTGACTTCACTGGTTACAATTATAATTAGATTAGAGTCAATCAGATTTGGATCCAAACTTTGCACCTGCTCCCACCTTTGTAAACTAAAATTCTGAAATCCAAATACCATTGATCTTGAGGGATCTACACTTTGTGGCTTGGGGCACGTTTCTGCATTTCTGCATAACAACTTGAGGGGCTACCATGTGAACTTGGTCATAACTATAGATCCGAGGCTCAGAAATACCCTAGCCTGAAATTCAGTCTCTGAGTTCGTTTAGTCCAAGTTGCAATTCTTGTTTTGTGAGCAGAATAGATTTTCAGGTAAGCTTATCTATAACCTTGCTTTTTGACTTCTTGAGAACCTTCCGTGTCAATATAATAGATAACCTAATCCTGTTTGATTGTTGTTCATTGTGTTCAGAGGAAGATTCCAGGTCCACCATTTGGCACACACATTTGGAAAGGTCTGTGCATAGGATCCAAACAGCTAACTAGCTCTCCAGCACCTGTACTAAAATGCCCGAATGTGCTACAAATCCGACAGCTGATCCAGTATGAACCAATCACTGATGAGCTGAGACAGAAGTTGCAGTTGTCCCTCAAGGTAACGCAGTCATAGTAACTTCATTCTCTTAGTAAACAGAATTTGCTGACAAATCAAGTAGCATGTATTTCTCACACACCCCTGAGACAAGAGCTGTCAGTTACCTGGAATCCAATAGTCCTTGCACATATATATACATTTACATACATGTGAATATAAAATATATAAACCCCACATAGGATAGGGTACTGACCTTGCCTAATTTATTTCACAATGAAACTAATGTGCCTTGCTTTCACTATTTTTTCCTCAGTGTAGCTATTCCACATTAGCTATCCCAGTGTAAAAACTTTTTGTAAGGAAGTGAAGACAAGGATATGTCAGGGCTGAGCAACATTGACACAAGATGTTTTATGGGAGAGGTTTTACTACTAGGGACTGTGCTATGCTTTTTCTAGGATACATGGAAGCCCTCAATCTATAAGATTGTCATTCAGACACTTTCTACTAGAAAAAAATCACTTAAAGACACATTACATTCATTAAAAATAATCTTCCTTCTTTTACACACCAGTAGTCCTATATTAATATATAGCAATTTCATGCCCATCATAGGTTGCATCTCCCAAATGTAGATAGGATAACTTCAGTCTGCTTCATTATATACAGTTAAAGTGCGTTTCTTGGGATCCTTTTACAGTGCAAAGCACACTGTCATCACGTAACTACTGAGCAAAAAAGCACTAATCATTGAGCAACAGCGTCAAAGAAAAATAAAAGTGTTACATTTTTATTTCTGACAGGAAAACAAAAACTATCAAAAATGTGTATTTCTCCATTTCCCATTCAGTACATGTTCATGATACTCTGTTCTAGTACAACAGGCTCTCCCACGCTATACAGAGCTCTCAAATGCGCTGTATGTGGAAGGGCATTCTGCATTTCAGCTGCATCAGATGATGCTCTACAGACATACAAGGGATGCCCATTAAAATTCCTTTTAAACTAGGGGAAAGTGCATTGGAGTGAAAGGTAGGTGATCAAGAGACCTAACTGGGCAATGGGCAACCTAGGCAAGAGAGAGGGCCGCATGCAGTGTTCCCTTTAACATTTTCTATCCTTGGGTGGGTTGAATTTTCTTATGTGCACCACCAATATTGAGGTAGTGCCTCAATGTATAGCACCAATACAAACAAAACACACATTTTATTTATTACATACACACAAAATATATACATATATTTTAAGCAGTCTTTATGTGTGGAATAAAATATATTAAAACAAGATACTTGTGACAAAGGTGCTGTACAAAGGTAGGGAATTAGCCTTCTTCCACTGGAGGAAGAGTATAAGCCCCAGAACAAATTAACACCTGGCTTCAGGGTTTTGCATGTTTCAAAGAGCTTGCGAATAAGGTTTAATTCTATAAAACAACTAACATCACACCTAGTACTTGCCGCTTCTGACTCATAAAAGCCAGAACTCTACCAGATAGCAAAGATCTGGCCTTAATGCAACACAATTTACCATGAATTAATTAGTAACACAGGATTTTTAAAATTCATTAAGTTCAGAGTTTAGATATCTGCAACACTCCAAAAAATTCTGTTAAAAGAATTAAAAAACAATGAATAGCCCTGCAGCACCTTAGGACTAATAACTTTTTTAGTACAGACTAACACAGCTTACGCTCTGAAACGGTTAAAAGAATCTTTTATTTCTTATCTTAAGCCATTTACCCCTATTTGCAAACTTTGTTTGAAATATAATCATGCAAATGTCCTCCGTGTGTGTGTGTGTGTGTGTGTGTGTGTGTGTGTGTGTCCCCCCCCCCCACACACCCACACACACACACACACACACACACACACACACACACACACACACACACACACCTTTATCTCTCTCCCTTCAAACCAGCCTAACAGAGAGGATTGCAGTGAATCAAACACCCCAAACAAACTGCCCCGACTGCACCTCACTGCATGATGCCTGCACACAATCACTCCCTCTTTCCCCCACCTACCTCATGCAGTCAGCTCCTTTACCTCTCCTTTTCCAGCCCAGGAGGATTGAAGAGACTGCTGGGTTTCTGCCTCGCCCCTCGCCCTACCCCCCCAATCCGGCAGATGGGACTTTTCCCCCAAGCCTATTAATTACTCCCTCTCTCCTCCCAGCCACTCATTCCCTGCTTATCTCGGCTGATTGTCTTCCATTTCAAGCATGTGGCAGGCAGTGTTTAGCTGCTATTTACAAAGGCCCCAGTCCCACTGATCAGCTGATCTCCCTGCCTGTGCAGGTAGCTTTGAATCTCTGTGTGAGGCTCGGAACATAGCTTGAGGGAACTTTGGCCAAATGAGTGACCCTCCTTCATCTCAAAGGGCCACAAAACTGTCATAACCAAGGTAGTCTCCTGGGATAGGGTAGTTTTGCTAACTGTGCTTCCATATCTAGAATTTGCAGGGTGTGCCTATTGAACCATAGCAGTGCTTTGATTGGATGCAAAGGGAGAGCATGGCTCTCACAGTCAATTTTATATGCAGTCAGCAAACACTTCCCTTCATATGCACTTGCTTTATGTGTGTCACGTTAGCAATACTGGTATGAAAAAACCATGAAAACGAGGAATCTGGCAACTCTGTATGAGCAATGACAAACGAAATGTCTTGCGGGTCACACATATAACCCCAATGGACCGCATGTGGCCCTTGAGATGCAGGTTTCCCACCACTGGATCTAGTCTCTCCTCTGCTGATTGCTCTTTATATTTCCACACGCTTCATTCTACTTATTTGATAAACATTAACTGGAAGGTTGCACAGGATCACTGGAACAGAATTCAGATCTGTAATACAAGTTTTGAGAGGGTAGATTGAGACTATTTATATTAGAAGAAAACTTTTTTATAGAAGCATTTTTAAGCTAGAGACTTGTTCAGAACACAGCCATGGACCAGTGGAGAGGGCACTGGCTTTCCCTTCTCCTTCGCCATTTCTTTGGAATTCAAAGAAAAATGGGAAGGAACTTGAAAGGTTGCAGGCCTGGCCTATTTATGAATCCTTGTATATAGCTTGTCACCTGAATAGAGATGCGAACCTAGTCTTGCCTGTGGACCCTACTTTTTCATCTAAGTGAGCTTCTAAGATGCATAAAGATTCCTCTGAGAAACAGCTTTAGCACAGATTTATTTGTTTTTTACCCTGACAGTCTGACTCTGCAGAGGCAATATACACCTCACTTATATAAGTAAACTATTCTCTGCATGGGTGTTCATTATGTTTACTTCTATAAAACAAACAGTTGCATCTCCCATATCCTTTATTCACTAGGAGTACATAGACTACATCCTGAAACAAGAAGACGAAATGCAAGAGATGACCATTAAAGAACCAAGAACAGAGGAAGAAAAGGGTAATGCTGCTGACCTCCTAAAACTGGTTATGGTGAGAGAACTTCATTTTGATTTGTTTCTTTTCAGTATCAACAATTGAAACTCAAGGTCTGTTAGCACTAGGAACAATGTGGCATTGACTCTTCTAAGTGCTCTTAAAATCCACATGATTATCTTGAAATTTTCTGTACTTCTTGGGGGTACTGGGTAATGTTAGTTAAGAATGGCCATACTGGGTCAGATCAAAGGTCCAGCTAGCCCAGTGTCCTATCTGCCGACAGTGGCCAATGCCAGATGCCCCAGAGGAAGTGAACACAACAGGTAATCATCATCAAGTGATCCTTTTCCTGTCACCCATTTCCAGCCTCCAACAAACAGAGGCTAGGGACACTGTTCCTACCCTTCTTGGCTAACAAGTACTGATGAACCTATTCTCCATTAATTTATCTAGTTCTTTTTTGAATGCTGTTAAAGTCCTGGTCTTTGCAATATCCTCGTGCAAGGGGTTCCACAGAATGTTTTGTGCTAGCCTATTTGTAGTAGGAGGTCTGGAGAAGAGCATATATGCTGAATTCCAATTGAAGCTAAGAACCTCTAAAATTCTTCAGAACAGAGTTACGGTCCATTGTCACCAACTGCAATGGTAAATCATATTGGCTAAACAAGGTACAAAGATATCCAATAGTCTTGGTAGCTGTAGTAGAAATTGCTCTGAAACCTTCTGGCCATTTTCAATACATGTTGACTATGACTCAAAACACATAACTTTCTAAAGGTCTTGCTGGTCCATGTGAACACACATCCAAGGAGTCTGAGACACAGTCAAGGGGTATAGATGAGCTGGATCAGGATCATGGTGAATTTTCTGACATTTTGTACAGCCCTTTCCCTTCCTTTTGGTATCTTTGTTGATTCCCAATCACCATACGCAACTCTGGTCTACAGCTTTCATCCTTACATGCCAATATCTTGTGAAGAGCTTCCAAAACTTCAGACGGAAGTGATTTCAGAATAATCATTTGGTTTCCCCTCAAATGCAACCATGATTTGCAGATAATTCACGCTGACATGACACAAATTATGTAAAACGAGGATTCCTTTAATCCAGTAGTTCCCAACCTGTGGTCCGCGGACGGTACTGTAGGGAGTCCACTGATAGTTTAAAAGTAAGGATCAGGCCCACCGTGAGACTGGGACTTTCCACCAAGCAATTCTCACCCAGGGCTCACAGTTCACGACCATCTATCCTTCCACTGCCAGCTGCGCTGCCGTTTATGCTCCAGCCCTCTCCTGCTCCCAGGCCCGTGGTGGACTTGTTCCTTACTTTTCTTTTCCTTTCCTTTTTTTTTCCTCCCCCAGAGCTCCATGCCTGGCCAAGGGAGATGGGCAGAGGATAGAAGGGGACGGGAGTTGAGGAAGCAGTGCAGGCCAAGGGACAGTGCTGGCTGCTGCTTCCTGCTGCCCCCCTTGACAGAATGGCAAAAGGCAGGGACTGGGAGTTGACAGGCTCCAAGCCTGCAGATGTTCCACATGGATAAAAAGTCCCAGCGCACCAGTGGTTTGCCCTGCTGGCCTGGAAAGTGATCCTGGGAAGTGCTGCGAACTATGCTGTACTCAGCTGGGACATTTGTTTATTTGCAAAGTCTGAGCTTGTTTGCTTGCAGGCACAGAGCCTCTCCGCTCCCATTGGCTGTGAACAGTGACCAGCAGCCAATGGGAGCTGAGAAGCTCCATGCCCTGCCGTGCACATGTCCCTCAGCCCGCGCTGAAGCTGACAAGCTGTAACTGTCCTCTGGAGTTGTCTTACAAACACGTCACTCACTTTTTACCATGTTTTCTCTTTTTTGAAATGATTGTGTTACATAAACTCATCACCCCGCTCTAACCATTCAAGAGCTATTAAATGGTGGGAAGGGTATAGTTGCAAAAATGGATCGGTGGATCCAATAAAATTTTCTTCAATAAAAATATATGGCAGCTCAAAGCCATTACATTTCAATGTGGACACCCTGTATTCTCTCTCAATACTACTAGATAACATGAACTATTACACATTTCAAATGATTATCAAGTAATGGAATGTTTGAAAATAACTAAATTGTTTGGGAGTCCATAAAATGTTAGTAGATTGAAAAGGGGCCCATGTGCTCAAAAAGGTTGGGTACCATTGCTTTAATCCTATGCTGTACCTTGTAGAACTGTGGCCTTCACAACAGAAAGCACATCATCCTTCATGGTTTCTTTGATTTGTATACTAGTGCCCCCCCTCCTGCCCCAGGAACAGCCACCACCATCTTGGTGATGGATGGGCCAGGCACCCTTGGAACAAAGGAAGGATGAGGGGGGCTCAGAATGTAGGGATGTTGGGGGGCTCCCCCAATGGCACAGTGGATAAGGTACCCACCTCTGGAGCCAGGAGTCACCAGCTCAAGGGCCCAAGCTTCCCCTCTCCCCCACAGGAACAGCCCCCACCAGCTTCATGATGGATGGACCAGGCACCCTTGCAACAAAGGAAGGATAAGGGGGGCCCAGAATGTAGGGAGGTTGGGGGGCACATCATCCTTCATGGTTTCTTTGATTTGTATACTCATCAAATTGAGAGAGAACACTTCCTCAGGAGCTTGGGGATAGTAGGCTTGCCTGGATCCAGCACCTGTGGCTCAGGGCTCTCCCCCAGCATTGGGGATTCCATGCTGGTGCTCCAGCCCTCCTGCCACTCACCCATCTGTAGGGCTGAAGCACACAAAATCTACTAGCCTGGTGTGCAAGGGGACTATGAGGAATGTCTTTCTCCTTAGCTGGGGGCCACATCAGTGAGGGTTTTTTTGCTTCTCACTTGTGTGTTGCCCTCACCTGATTTTTTCTGTTGGTCAGTGGCCCCTAACCCCAAAAAAGGTTCCCCACCTCTGCTCTAGTGATTATCTCAAGCCCATGGCACCAATTACACGTCCACAATATTTAGCTAAAAGTTTGAAAAACTCAAATTTATCTCAATGAACTCTCAGTCTGTGGTCTTCCAAACATTGTAAAACAGCATCCAAATTCTGAAGATGATCCTCTTAATCCTTCCCTGTAATAAGGATGTTATCCAAATAACAATGAACTCCATTCAGTCCCTTTCGAATTTCATTTATGGCTTTCTGGGCCAGGGCCAGGGCTGGATTACCCAATAGGCAGACTAAGTACGTGCTTAGGGCACCATCTGTAGGGCTGAAGCAAAAAAAAAAAAAAAAGATATTTTACGGTATAGTATTGTTTTTATTTTGAATTACATATAGGGAGGGCACCATAATCTTTTCAGTGCTTAGGGCCTCTAAAGGTCTTAATCCGGCCCTGGACAGGGCAGGTGCCAATGTGATACTGAAAGGGAACCAGTTGTAATGTAATAAGCCTTTTTGCTTGTGAGAGGCTTGCAAGATATAGGATCAGTCTCCATGTGTAGGAATGCATTGAGCTAATCCAGTTTACTGAAACACCAACCACCACTAAATTACGAACATTTTCAATATGAGACAGATAATAGTGATCTGCACATAACACTGGATTCAGTGCCACTTTGAAATCTCCACAAATTCAGACTATGTCTTCCTTCTTAATCATAAGTGTGATGAGTGTAGCTCATTCACTATGTTAAACCACTGTTAAGACTTTGATGTTATCTGAATGGTCCAAATCAGCTTTCACAAGGCACAACTCTGGGCTTGCAGTGTTTTGGCTAACTATCAGACTAAACAGTGAGCTTCACGGACACATTGTTCATTTTACCAATCTCTTTTTCAACAACTTTGGCACTGAGTATTTCTTGAATATTTCAAGGTGCTTTTGTGTTCACCTTGGTCTCAGTCTAATTCTCCTTGAGCTTCTCAAGCCAACATACTTTCCTTCCATCCCATACAAGGGTAAAGCAACAAAATGTTCATCAAGTTGAACTCTGACTAAGAATCCTTATCTGTCCCGACTCTTACCATACCAATTTGTAGTAATGGGATGGTGGGGGTACTTGTGCTGTAATTTAATGCATAAATGGCTGAATATGATTATAGTCCTACTATACTTTTCTAATTTTTTAATTAATCTGCGGTGGAGAACAGTACTGAAAAATGTGAGGGAAATGGACCACAAGAGAAGCACAGTCCTAACAATTCTCCACATGCTGCAAGTTCATTAACAAATTCCAAAGCAAAGTATTTTGAGGTATTAACTCTTCACGCATGAGAATCTGATTAAACTCACTCTCTGTTAGTGACTGTCAGGTGTGTATACATGTTATCTGCTACTCTCTTGTTAACGTTGCTAAGGACCCTGAAGGTCCCATGCTTGTTTTCACGTGGCTGTATCTACTGCATGTCCCCCATTCCTTGGCTCCCATTGCGTTGTGTTTTAGAGATATTTTGTTTCCTGGCTCACATTTCCAGGCCCCCTGCAGGCCCCCACATTTTCAACCTCAGATTAATAGAAGGCAATGAACACTTGTTTAGGGATAAAAAGTCACAAAGGATAGGTACTGTTATGCAAGACCTTGTTTGTCACATTAGTATAATTCTTCCATTGGAGAAATCATCAAAAGATCTCAACACAAGAGGTAGGAGCCATTAAAGCTCTATATTTTAAATGGTCTAGTGATCCTTTTTAGTGCTATGCATATTAATCTGTCTGTTCTGGTTTTGAGCCCTTTTTTACTTCTGTAATTTACAGACATTTTGTGACACTTAGGGAAATCGACAATTGGCAATCATTGAGGCAACAAAAGTGGCATTCCTATCTACTGTCACTCAAGTGATTTATACACTTGAGAATTGTACTAAATCATTTTAGTGATAATCATCACGGGTCTACAAAAAAAATGGACCTTAAATCAAAATGGTCCAGTCAGGATATCTAAATTTAGGCATTTAAGTCCATAAATAGGAATCTGAAAAATTGGGCTGATTTTCACAGGTCATGAGCCCTTACAACTCCCAGTGACTTCAGTGATTCACCATCTCTAAAAATGAGGTCACCTGTTTAGTTGCATAAATTTAGGCATCCATATTTTTTGGCCTACATTTCATGGAGTTTTAACTCATCTGCCAACCATTGATACAGCCCTATTTTAGTTAATTAGTATTATAAAAGTATGAACATTCCAGCCAAGGCTTTTAGAGATAGGTGCCTAAATTAGGCTTGTACTTGAATATTATGCATCTAAAGAAAAGCAAATTTTCAAAAATGCAACTTCATTACGGAAAAGTATTTGGAGTGGGGTCCAAAAAAGTACTTAGGTTTCTAATCCTTTTTGTAGACACCACTGTTATCCACAAAACTCCCACTTGGCTGGAGGTGCCTAAGTTTCTGTCCTTGGGCATGAGCACTATTGCCTCACTCTAGACGTAAGGGTGCCAGATTCGTAGCTAAGCACCAGAGTAAGTCACACCCCAAGAGAAGATGGGCATTCAGTCACCTAAACTGCATGTATGGCCTAATCTGGTAGGCTTGCTCAGAGGCTTCCTTATTCCATAAAATGTCTGGAGGAGGAAGAAGCACTCCTTTATAACCTTTAACCTAGTGGCTAAAGTACTTACCTGAGGTATGAGAGAAATTAACTCCCCTTACCTTTTAGCTCACATAGCTGAGTTATATGAGCAGGCTGTGGATTCTCAGCTCCAAACTCCACCAAGGAAGACAGTATCAAAGCAAACAGAAGACTATTGGCAGAGTTTCAGGTAAGACAATCCAATACAACCTGCTATTAAAGTAAATCATACAAAGAATATTGGGAAGCAGAAATATGAGACTGTGCTTCAGTAGTTAGCACATGGGAGTGGAAAGGAAGAGCTCAAACACTGTCTCTGTGACCACTCTGCCTGTTTTCCTTTCTGTAAAATGAGGCTACTAATACTTACCAATCTGACAATGGTGCTGTGAAGATTTGTGGATGCACAGTGCTATAAAAGTGCAAAATGTAATTATCAATATGATTGACCATGCTTTCAATCAGTTTAGACGTCATCAGACACATTAACATGATATGCTCTAATAAGAAAAACGCTTTTTCATTGCTTATTTTATGAACCAATCATGCTTATAAAAATATAGTACTACTTAGCTCATTTTCATTATTTTTGTTCTTTTCCCCCTCATGCAGCAAGGACAGATTAATGCAGGAATCTCGCTGGCAGACAAAATTAAAACAATGCAGGTAATTGTATTATTAGGCTAGAAAGTTAGGGCTTGATCTCAGACCCACTGAAGTCTGTGGAAAGACTCCTACTGCTTTCATTGGGCTTTAGATCAGGCCCTTACTACTGATACTGTAGCAAAACAATGCTGTTGGAGCATTGTCTCTAATAGAAATGCTGAATGAATAGTTTGACTTCACATCCGATACTTTTGTAAATGACAGCTCAAAGCACAGGCATGGAGACAGTGTCTGTTAGACAATTTAGAACAGGGGCAAGGAATCAGAAAACATGGCCCGATTTTCTGAGGTAATGAACATGTGCTTGGTTCCCATGAAAATCAGGTCACTTTGGTGCCAAATTTGAACATTTTGACTCTAAATTTCCCTATCCTCTGTTTCTCTATTTGTAAAATATTGATCTCCCTCACAGAAAGTTTGCAAGTCATCTTTAATGTCAATAAGCACATTAAGAACTTCAGATTAAAGCTGCTATGGAAGAGGAAAGTATTACAGTCTAAACATCAGTGGAAACTATTATTAAGTCTGAAATTCAGTTTTTTATTCTAGCCCCCTTATTTCACTTGTGCGTAAATTTCTAAAAAAAGTCTAGAAATTGTCCCAGAAAGATTTTTCTGAATATTATAGTACACTGTATTTGATTACATTATATACAGTGATTGTTCAAATCCAAAGAACTGAAAAAAATTTACATTAAATTAATGTCAGGTATGAAAACTTGAAGTACAAAAGGGAAACATAAAAGTAAAAGTTCTCTCACAGGAATATGAATTCACCCCCAATAAACATAAGTAACAGTGAGTAATATTTAAGGTGTTCAGTGTTTGTCTCAGAGAAGAATGTTGAATATGGATGAAATAATTTTATGATGAGGAACTTGTGCTTTTCCTAACTTATTTTTGTGAAAGACTGAACTGTAGTTGATCCAGGGTCTCCTGTGGGTATCAGACATATGTGAATTCTCTCGACTTTGTAACAAAGCATTTTATGATTTGAAATATGTTAATTTCAGACTGAGGCTGGATTGCCTTAATGCTACATGATGGCAGCACTTTATCTCACATTATACACTATTTAAAGAGTAACTTAAAATTACGCTTGGCAGAATTTTTTTTTTTTTTTATAATTTCAGCAGCTAATATCACTGTTTATTGTTAGGATTTTTTCAGTTTTTATTGAAACGTTCTCAGTTACACAAAATTATGGGGTTTTATCAATTTTTTATGAAGCAAAATGTTCAAAGTTGCAGGAATTGCGGGGGCATCAGATAGCAGGAAGTCAAACAATAAGTATTTACCGTAGTAGACGTTGCATCTCTAAACATTAAAACTTTATAAACTGTTAAAACACAGTGTCAGCAGTATGTGTCAAAAGTGCAAAGTAAATAACCTTAAATAAACTCTAATACATTCACAAGCAGCATTTTTCTTACTTTGCCTATCCACAGATTTCAGTTACTATTGACAGAAATATTTATGTCGGTTTGTGCATTGACATTTACCAATATTCACCAATAAAAATCTAAAACTACTTAAAATGGATGCTAAACTACTTAAACTGTATCACTAAAATCTGGGATACAGTTCTGGCTCCCTTAAAGTCAATGACAAAATTCACTGACTTCAGAATAGCCCAGGTTTCGTGCCCAATTTTCTACTCATTTGCAATCAGAGGAAATAATTCCCTTCAAGTCAATGAAATTACAATGGTATAAAGCTATTTTCAGTGAGTGAAAATCAGTCTCAAAATGTAACTGAGGTCTGTGTTGGCTTTACTGTCATTAAGACAGCATTCTTCTAAACCTCCTCATCTTCAAGAGTTCAGACGCTCCGTCTGGATGTATGTTGTATAGGACAACACCCTTCTGGCAGTCTTCTTCAACTTCTATAATGGCAAGAGCAAGATCTCAAAACATCTAAAATGACTATCTTCAGATGACTGCATAAGTGTTGTCACTGTGCTGGGCACAGTGTATTAGAGAAACAAGGTGGGTGAGGTAATAGCTTTTATTGGACTAACTTCTGTTAGTGAGAGACACAAGCTTTTAAGGCTTATAAAAAGCTCTTATTCAGGTCTGGAAAATATACTCTGAGGATATGACTACACTGTAGTTAAAAACCATGGGTGGTCCATGCCAGCTGATTCAAGGTGAGGGGCTCCCGCTAAGGTGCTGTTTAATTGTGATGTAAATGATCAGGCTTGGCCTGGAGCCAGCATTCTAGGGGCCCTGTCTGGGAGGGGGAAGGGTCCCAGGGCTTGGCCAAACATCTGTGAAACAGATTGTTTAGCATATGTAGTTAACACATATTTCAAGGGATGATTCAACATCTCTCCTGCTAACATTTCTCCAGTCATGGGGGGAAAGGCATACGTTAGGGGCAAGGGGACGGGAAATATGGAAAGGAAAAAATTCAGGGGCAAAGAGCTGGAGGAGGAGGTTGAGTGAGTTATAGATTGTTGTAATACGCCATAAATCCAGTATCTCTAACAAGTCCATGATTTAGAATCTAGCAAAGTTACAAATTTCAGCTCCAGCCTTATCTTTTGGAGGTGTTGGGTAGTTTCCTTTGTCGATGAGAACTGAGAGGTCAGATATACAGTGATTGCTTTATGAAAAGTGTTCACCCACAGGTGCTCTGGTGGTTTTATCTTTGATCATTTTTCTCTGTGAATTCATTCAAGGAACTAGTGATTGTCTAATTTCACCCTCAGAGGCTACGTCTACATTGCACATTCTTGCGCAAGAAGATATGCATATGAGGCGTGGCAATGAATATGAGGCTAATGAGCCACCATTTTTGCGCAAGGAACTTTTGCGCAAGAAGGAGCAGTCTACACTGCCCCCTCCTTCCCAAAAAACCCCTCTTGCACAAGAGCCATTCTGCCGCTTATTTTCAGGCAGAACGGCTCTTGCGCAAGAGGGAGGTTTTGCGCAAGAAGGAACAGTGTAGACTGCTTCTTCTTGCACAAAAGCCCTTTGCGCAAAAATGTGATTAGGTATACCTGTGGCTCATTAGGTATGCAAATGAGGCATGGCAATAGTCATTGCCATGCCTCATTTGCATATCTTTTTGCGCAAGAATGGACAACGTAGATGTAGCCATAGTGGTTACTGGGGTGTGCTGCGTGAGGTCCTATAAAAGACATTTCCTTACCCACCTTATCTTCAGATGAGTCAAATCTGTTGATTTTGAAAGTTCATCAAGAACTGTCTCTCATTCTTTCTTGATCTCTCTCCTCCTTTCATTTGGTTCTTCCCCATCTCTTTTTCTGGATGGATTACTTGCTTCTCTAGACTTGAGGATTCTCTTGGTACATGTAAATACACAATTTGCATTCGCTGCCTATATGCTTTTTCATAGCAGAGAAATTGCCTAAGCTGGAACTTGTCCCATCCTTGTAGAAAGCCATTCACATACAGTTTAAGACTTTGGAAATGTCTCAATTGGGACTGTGATGCAGCTCCAAGATTCATTTAGGGAGAGCTGAAAATGTGACCTTCTAGTGCTTTCTGGATGTGATTAACTCCTTAGCCCAGAGGATTCCTCTGGTTTGCAGAAATATTTTGATAGTAAATTCATCTTGTCTGCTGATTTTTGTGGGACCAGGACTGGGCTGGTAGTAATTAGGGTTTGTGTAACTAGCAATTGTGGGTGTACATGAGGCAGCAGTTCAGCCACTGTCTATACAAATTTCAAATTGCTATCTAGATTCCTGAGCTGTAGCATGGGCCTCAGGAGCTGAGCCCTCTGCTTCTTGGTAGTTTGGTAATTTTGAGAACATGTCAGTGAATTATAATAATGACATCAGTAGATTTGGATAGCAAGAAAAAAAAAGTCTGAGGCAACACTTGTAATATCTTCTTTCTTTTCCTATGTAGGCAGGAAATTGATGAAGGAAGAAAGTGCCTAATAGGAATAAGCAATAGAATAATTCCACCCTATTTTGAATCTGAACTTGGCAAGGAATTTCTCCTGAAAGAGGTATGCATCTCAGGGAAACTGAATGAAGAAGTGTTAGTGCAAAGAATCTCTCTCTCAGTCCTACAAAGGATCTTTTCCACATCTTAGTTGTCATCTTGTAGAAGGCAGTGACTGGAAACAGCATTTATGACTATTATTACATGTACAGGACATATCTTTTTATAGTCTTGTTTCATAAGTAAGTTGAAATGGAACCACAACTATAATTACAGGTTGGACCTCCCTGGTCCAGTATGGTTGGCATCTGGTCAACACCTGACTGGTCCCGAATGACAGAATTGGCCAGACCAGGGGAGGTGTCCTTTGCCACAGACCCTGAGCCAGCCGGCCCCCTGCCTCTGGCCCTCTCTACCCTTTCCCCGGCTCTGCTGCTTTCGACCACAGCCCCAGTCTGCCTTTGGCGGCTGGGGCTCTTTGGCCCTGGCCCGCGCTGCAGCATACAGCCAGATTCTACCAGCCCTGTGCTGCCATGGGTGGCCAAACTTCTCCAACCCCCAACTCTGCATTTCCACTGGCTGCGAGGTTCTGTATGGGCTGCCACAGGTGGCTGGGCTTCTCTGATCGCTGAGGGCTGCTATGGCTGCCAGCCCCATGCTGCTGTGCTGTGGGTGCCTGGGGTTCACCAACCCCTGGCTCTGTACTGCTAGGCAACACTGCTGCCCCGGCCTGCTGCCACAGGTTGGCCTTGATCAGGCTGCCGACCTGCTGTGGGCCCAGACGGGCTTCCCCTGTCAGCCAGGCTGCCGTGGCTCTATCCCCACTGCCGTGCTGGCACACAGCCCTGATCAGGCTCCTGCGGCACAACCCATTGTTTGGCTGGTTAAGTCATTAGGATGTGGAAGGTAGTGTGCTAGTCAGGTGGTGTCTCTAGTAATACCTTTGTAAATTAAGTTAAGTTCCAATGCTTCCCTGTGCATTTAGCTTGTGGAACTGGCCTGTAACTACACAATGACTCATCCATTAATGAGTGCCCGGGTAGGTTAAAGTGTTTTCCAAGAGGTTTTTGTGGGTTGCCTTTTCGGATATCTGATCTGTGTCCATTAATTCTTTCCCATAGAGACTGCCCAGTTTGGCCAATATACATGGCAGAGGGGCATTGCTGGCATTTGATGGTATAGATCACGTTAGTGGAGTGCAGTTAAATGAGCCTCTGATGTAATGGCTGATGTGATGAAATCGCTTGTGTAGATATATGGACAACGTTGGCACGAGAGCTGATGGCAGGGGTGGGTTCCTGGATGATTATGATGGAAGTGTGCTGCATGGTTACTGGAAAGAATTTGTTTGATGTTAGGGGGCTGTCTGTAGATGAGGGTTGCCCTTTCCCCCATGACCTCTGAGAGTGAGTGGTCATTATCTAGGATAGGTTGTAGATTGTTGATAATGCGTTGAAGGGGTTTAAGTTGTGTGCTGTAAGTGATGACAAGTGGAATTCTATTGTTTTCTCTTCTTGGCCTATCTTGAAGTTGTTCATGTCTTGGTACTTTTCTGGCTCTGTCGATCTGTTTTTTCATTTTTCAGGGTGGGCATTTCAGTTTTAGAAATGCTCTAAATAGATCCTGGTGTTTGTTTCTGTCTGTGGGATTGGAGCAAATCCAGTTATATCTTAGGGCTTGGTTGTATATAATAGATTGAGAAATGTATCTGTGATGGAAGCTAGAGGCATGAAGGCAAGTGTAGCAGTCAGTAGGTTTTCGATATAAGGTGGTGGAAATGTGTCCGTCATATAATTGTATTGTAGTGTCAAGGAAGTGGATTTATGGATACCCCAGACATTCAGTTAACTAAATTGCCTGTAAGGGTTAAACCCAGACACAAAGGGTCCTAGAGAGTCTCCAGAAAGTGGTGTTGGGAGAAAAAGCAGGACCTTCCTCCTGCAGTCTTTGTGTAACAAGTGGAGAGCTGGGAGTCATGGATTGAGCAAGGAACAAAGGCATGACATTTCCAGCAATATCCTTGGTTAGGAAAGGACTAAACCTTGGAACAACAGGTATGTGAGTAGAATAGGGAATGTTCATTTATATCTGATCAGGCTATTTTGTTGATTTTTGGATTTGTGTTTTAATTCAACATTTCAGGGATCTTTGATCCAAAGTTTCCAGAGCCAGTGATTGCAGATAATTACCTTCTCTTTCGGAGGCACAGCTTCAAAAGAATGGATTCAAAGTGTGTCATTTGCAGTCTCTCCCCATCAGGTACTTCCTGGGAAATCTACTTTCCAAATATTGTTGTAAAAGTCCTATCGTGTCCCAGGGACATGTTAATCCTGTCTTCTTGCTAAAGAAATTCTATACAATTTTACAATAATATAGATATAAAATCTAATTCAACAATGTTTAATTTAATTCAATAAAGTGTATTTTACTGCTATAAGGTTTGTTATTACAAGATATTGTCAGTCTGTCTCATCACCAAATGGTGCTGATTTTGAGGTGGAATCCTAGCACAATGGAAGTCACAAGCAGTTTTGTCATTGACTTCATAGAGACCAGAATTTCATCCTTGGTCTCTAATAGGGCCTTATGAGAAATATTGAGCCGTATGTCAAAGACTCCAGATAGCAGGAAGCAGTTAAATCTGCCTTGAAATGTCCACACAATGTTTCAAGGCAAAATAATTAATCTGTCATGGCTCATCCTTGGTCATTGCTAAGCAAGCAGAGTCAATATTATGCCAAGTAATGACATTATAGTGAAGACTATTGTACACTAGAGACTGAGCTGACACTGTCAAAGTCATTTCATACCAAACCTCATTGCCACCCTTGTTACTCAGCCAGGAAGTTAAATATACTTCATAAATCTTAAGCTGAAAAAAAGAAAATAATTTATTTTACCAGAGCTGCACAGAATGCTGCAGACAAGAGACAGCTTGATTATCATAAATTGAGGTTGTCATTCTGAGTTTTCACAGTTGTAAACCAAATGTTGTGACAAGAACACCGAACAACCTTACAAAGAAACTGGTGTGTGTGGATAGCAGAAACTATGCAGAGCAAGTGCTTTTTGTTTTGCTATACGAATAAAGTACTTTACAGCTGTCAGAATTACAGGGCTAACTGTGATCTGCACTGTTTTAATCTCGAGTGTACTCCTTTGGGAAGAGGTTTTACTACCTTTCCACTTCTCCCCGGATGGAACCACTGTTCCACCACTTTTCAACTGGATCTCTGTGCTGCTGCCAAACATGTTACCCTGACAGGGCCAAACCTGTTTTTTCCTCTGGAGACCAGTGACCAGAATGTTGATTAATGTCACTAAAATGCAGCATCTTCAAAACAAAATAGCTTTTAATTGCCAAAAGGAGCACAACAATTAGGAGAGCGGGTTTGCATTAAAGAGTCCTATATGCATATTTCCTTAACTAAGTGTAATTTCTTTATCTGTAGCTCAGGTGAGGTCCAGATTTTTCCCAGCTGTGAGATAGTAATGTTTCAAAATGTTGCGCACCAAGTAATTTTACAGCACAAATACACAGATTTATAGTCTAGCAAAAGAAGGAATTGTTGGCCAAAGCTTTTTACTTGTACCTCTCAAGAGCAATACAGGGACTTGATTCCTACTCTTTGCCTCATGCTCCCCTTTCCATTCCTTTAATGTAAAGTAAGACAGTAAAATAGTGATTGTTAATAATTATCAAAGAAAGGGAAAGATAGAAAAGAATAAAAGCAAAATGACACAAATCATGAATGACACTGTAATTTCATTCCAGTCTATTATTTATGCCTCTGTATGGAAAGTTAACAGAAATTATATCTTAAGAATGAGTCTACCCTGAAGGTGACACTCTTATCTAGATAAACTATAGCCAAAATACACTGTTCCCCAAATCAGCAGAGCCGTGTTTCAGTGTACTGTATAATTCAGTTGATCATGGATATTAGAAACAGGTTATAAATGGATAATATGAGCAATCATAGCTTATATCTGAAAGCATGGAAAGTAGATAACTGAGTTACTTATAAGAACCATTGTCTGGGTATACTAAAAGAAGGATCTGAGATACTTAATTTTAATCAGGCCATAACTATATTATATAGATGTCTGGGACTAGCTGATAGATGTGTAGTCATAACCATGTTTATTCAAATATTTACCTGGGTCTTCCACCTGGCACCGTCATTTCCATCAGATCCACCAGCCAATCCATGGCTTGGACCTTACCATCCACCCCCTCATAAGAGAGTTAAGATGGGCTATGAGACTGGCAAGGGGGCTGGCTCCTTGCCATGCCAATAATAAGAATCCCCATTCTGTTCCTTTATCCAGCACCTCCTTTTAAGTCCTTTACCAGGCCATTTATCTTGTCACTGTATGCCTCTTGCATAGCAGCCATAATAGGTGAAGCTTCCTTTCTTCCAAAAGAACCCAGTATCCATTGCAGGAGCTGCTGGGTTGTCCTCAACTGGGTATCGCAACAAACACTTTCATTGGTGGGCAGTGTAGGTGACCAGCACTCTGGATCCTTCAATTGTAAGAACGTATTAAAAAATGAACAATGTCTTGTGTGCCCAGCACCAAAAATCTCCATGTTATTGACCGTTTCATATTCCATGTTTCCATAGAGTCATTACTAGATCCTGGTACAAGCCCACAAAATCTGTGAAACTAGAAACAAGACAAGCCATCTGCTAGGTGATAACCCATGCCGGCAGGTGGTTGGAAGAAAAACAGATGTTGAGGATAAAGCATTGTTAAACATGTGCCCCCACCAACTTCGTAACCTTGTGCAATCTGGAAGTTTGATGATTGATAATCTGTAGCACTGCCAAGTTGTCACAGCAGAAACACGGCCTTTTATTAGTCAGCTCTGACCCCCCAAATAACCACCAAAACTAAAATGGGAAAATATTCCAAGAAAGTCATGTCACGCACACTGCCGCTTTGTGTCCAGGAGGCAGGTCATTTCTGTGCACACCACTTGCCCTAATAAAACACCCGAAAAAAAATTTATCCCCTGCAACATCTGAATGGATTTTTAAAACCCCATGTAACAGCTATTCCTACCTTTTCAACGAATACTTCATTTAAGTGACTCAAAAAACATTCCCACACCTTCAAGTCTTCCTTCATCTCTCTGCAGGTTTGACCTCCCTGATCTGGCACGGTTGGGTCCTGACTGAATGACAGAATTTGCCAGACCAGGAGAGGTGCCCCCTGCCATGGGCCCCAAGCCAGCCCAACTCTCTGCCTCTGACCCCCTCTACCCTCCCCTCCACTATGCTGCCAGTGGCCCCAGTCCTAGGCTGTCTTTGGCAGCTGGGGTTCTTCAGCCCTGGCCTGTGCTGCTGCGTGCAGCCAGATTTCCCCGGCCCTGCAATGCCACGGGCAGCCAGGTTTCTCCAGCCCCTGACCCCACACTGCAGGTGTCTGTCAAGGTTCTCCAGCTGCAAGCTGCTGTAGGCTGCCACAGGTGGCTGGGCTTCTCTGATCGCTGACCCTGTGCAGCCGTGGGTACCAGGGCTACTATGGCTGCCCCCCCCATGCTGCTGTGCTGTGGGTGCCTGGGGTTCACCAACCCCTGGCTCTGTACTGCTAGGCAACACTGCTGCCCCGGCCTGCTGCCACAGGTTGGCCTTGATCAGGCTGCCGACCTGCTGTGGGCCCAGACGGGCTTCCCCTGTCAGCCAGGCTGCCGTGGCTCTATCCCCACTGCCGTGCTGGCACACAGCCCACAACACCGCCGCTGGGCCAGCATGAACAGGCTGCTCCTGCCCCACTTCCACAGCCCCACTACCACTGCCGGTCTGCTGGGGCCCTAACCCCATTACCATCAGCCTCACCTTTTGCCAAGGTCTCAGCTTCTGGCCTTTCTGATCATGGGCTCTCTCGTTCAGACACATCCATAGTCCTGCCAGCCGAGAGAGTCCTGGTTTAGGGAGGTGCAACCTGTGTTCTGTACTGTCGATTTAATTGTTGTTGGTTTAGTTCTGCTGATTTGTTTACTTTATGCCCTCTTCCATAGTGGGAATATATACATAAGACATGAATGTTTTTTGTCATTTTTATTTAAAAGTTCCCTGACGTGGATTCGCTTTCAAAAGAACTTCCTCCATTTCCAAAGAAAGAGAAAGAAGAGTCATATTTGGGGGTAGTCACAGAATTGTTTAGGTCTTCGTTAAAGCTCAGTGCAGGTAACAATTTGATATGGAACAAAATTCTCCTTTGGCTTGTTGATTTGCCTCATATTCCTATTGCACTTACATTCAAGAGGGTGCCTTGGGGAAGTTACAGTTTCTGCTAAGGACTGAAAATATTAGTTCCTGATATCCAAATAGCTGAATAATTGTTGCCTGTTTGGATGCTACAGATAACACTTGAAAAATGTTCACTTCTAAGCCTTATCATTCAATCATTCATCTGCCAGATCTGCTTGACATTTGAACTGCTTGAGAACATTGTCAGACTGCTTTGTTGCTTGCATTTAAGGGATCTTTGCAGATCATAGCCGGGTGACCTGGAAAAACTGTGGGATCTAGGTACACAAGTGGAGAGCTAGGAGTTGTCAGATGGTGTTAGAGGTTGGGAGGGCAAATGTAAATTGCAGCCAGGAATGAATAGGAATGGATAAGTGGGCAGGGAGGCTTGGGGAAAGCATGGGTGAGGGTTGAGAAGGAGCTGAGAGACAAGGGAAGGAGGAGGAAGGTGGAATGGTAGTTCAGAGACCAGCATGGAAGGAGGAAGTGGCATAGGAATTTGAGTGAGGCTGAGTGGAGACAACTTGGAGGGGACACAGAGAGCACTGAACAATGTAGGAGCAACAGGGAACAAAGGAGGGATGGCAGCATCTCTAATCTAAGCTTCTTAAGGTTTACAGCACTGAGGGTATGTCTACACTTGCAGCCTAATTCAAACTAGGGCTGCAAATGTAGGCATTTGGAATTTCAAATCAAGCCCGGGCACTCATTGCAGGAGGAATAACAGGTAGTTCGAACTAGGGCTTTATTTCGAACGCCCGTTTCTCTGCCGCGTGTAGACACGGGCAGTTATTTTGGGCTTGCAAATTTCAAAAAATGGCACCCGGCTGGGAAGATGCAAATCAAGCACAGGATATTTAAATCCTGGGCTTGATTTGCAATTCCGAATGCCTACATTTGCAGCCCTAGTTCGAATTAGGCTGCAAGTGTAGACATATCCTGACAGAAGTGCTTTGATCCTGTGGTTAAAGAACAGCCCTGCAAGCATGGAACTGGCACACCAGGATGAAAGCTGCACTATAGTATTATTCTTGGCACAGCAAAGAACAGATCATCAAATCAATCACCCATGGGTCCCAATCGTTCTCCTGCTCCCTCCAATTGCACTGCCCTCAAGTCTCCTATTGCAGCTCTCTGGAGGACTAGCTGACTCACCACGCTCTCGGTATGCTGCCTCCACTCCCTGGCCCCTCCTGAAGCAAACTGCTGATGGCTGTATTCACATGGGAACCCACAGCATGACTAGGCCATGGCAGTGCCTCAGAGAGTATTATATGATTTCCCTAACTGGAATGCTTAATACCCTGCATGTTGAAATGTATGTATTGATATAACCAGCATTTTGTTGATCTACCCATTTTTTTTTTCTGTAGTATGTACAGCTCCATTTTCCCCAACCAATGATTCCCCACCCTCGCTGACCCCTCGGGGACACGGTCCTTCAGCACAGGCTGAAGAGTCCAGCAGAGCAGGTAAAGGAGCATTCCAGTTTGGTATCTAGGCAGAAGTATAGGTTGAAGACTGGTGAAGAGGGGAGTAGAACCGGATATAACAGTCAGCTGTGCTAGTTACACATTAACACGAGAAAATAATAAGAGGGATTCTTTCCTCTGCTATGGCCCTTATAAATGCAACAGAAAAAAGTCATTGGAGTCCGATATTTGGTTACAGAAGATCTCTCGGGGTGGGGAACCTTTTTTGTGTCAGGGGCCACGATCCACAGTCAGGGGCCACACACAAGTGAAAGGCAAAAACCAAAAACAAACCAAAAAACTCTTATGACATGGGCCCCCAACTGACAAACAGAAATACACTCCCCACATTCTCCTTACACACTAGAGCAGCGGTGGCCAAAGATGGAACCAGGACGGAACCCAAAATGGCTCAGGTCACTGTGAGCCGCATGCTGCTCACAACCCCCAGTGCACTGCATCATATCCTGCATGTACAGGCTGGGTTGCACACAGTGTCCCAACTTGTACATGGTAGCAGCCGGCCGCAGGCAGCGGCAAGGGCTCCAGGTGCGGCGACAGCAGTGTGGGGAGATGCCTGGCTTGGAGAAGGGGAGGGGACAGAAGGGGATGTGGGGGGGTACGCATGGTGTCCCAGATGCATGTGGTGGTAGCAGTGGCGGCGGCAGCGGCTCTGGCTCCGGGACCCGAGCATAAGATTGGGTGGGAGGGGGATTGGGTTGGAGTGAGG